AAAAGCCACAGACAATGTTCCACCGCGGATGAATGTGTGTGTATCCGGGAAAAGTTAAAAGTATTAAGGAAAACCCATTATTTCGGCAACTAATAGATTAGCTGCGACTGTGCATTGATTTAGAGAATTCTGGAACATTCCCTTCTTGCACGTGACTGCTAACATATAGCGGGTTAGAGACACTGTCGTGTGGCATAGTATACCAGCCACAGTCAGGTCTTTCACAAATGCATGAACATTCCACATTCAGGTTAGCAAATTCTTTGACCAGAACTTGTTAACGATCTTATTTCCATGGGGCAAATCACCACACGACTTTTTTCAGGATAGACCAAGGAATATATACTCAATGATTAAAAACGGTACAAAGAAAGCAGCAACAACAAAATTTACGTGATTCCAAATTATTTTATACCATACACCCCATATTACATATCTCACTCATACATGAGCACGATAATTATTGTACAAAAGATCTGTCCATAATCCAGGAACAGCTTCGCGTACAATCGGGAAATATAGGTATTATTATTATTGTATAACGTTCGGTGACATCGCCGAACGAACATGTACCCACGGCCTCGCAACGCTGTAGGGGATGGAATGGTCACATGAGAAGATATCCAAATAAGGTTGGTGGTTAGACTTAGTCAGACAGCCACCAGATTTCCATAAAGGTGCTCGATGGCCATTTCGTCCTATCGGGACTCGTCTGCGCCGCGCGTCCGACCGATCCAGCAGGTTCCGAACCTGTGGCCTTTCTCTCAAGGTTCAATGACTTATGCTGCTGAGTCATTGGTGACAGCGGCGGACGGAAGCCGCTACTGACCAGTCCCGGTCGGACGAAATGACAGTCTGGTGATTCTTTGGAATTGAAATGGCTGTCTGACTGTCTAGCTGGATTGATATTTCTCAAACACGATAAAGTCCTATAGTACTCTCCAAGATTTACCGTAGTATTCCAACCGACAAGCGTAATACGATTACTCTAAGGCCCAGAGATATGCGGATAGAAATGAGATATGGTCGTATGAGGGCGGATGTCTGAAGTATAAATCATTTTAAAGTGGATGAAGTCCCTTCAAGTTGGATCAGGATTATTTTTCGTTTGAATAGGAGCACCAAACAATGAGTGAAGCAGCCAGCATTATAAGACAACTAGACATCTTTTGTGGGGAATTGTAGCACAAAATGTGGTGTTACCAAAGTAGACAAGGAACTGACGCGACATCGTCAACAGAGCACCAGAGACCAAACCTCTTCGTCCCGCGAAAATGCCTTCAATTATAAGGTGCAGGACTCGAAAATGTCTGGCGATAAGGGATGCAGCATGGCGTGCTTACAAGAATAACCCCGACTCAGAGACTTGGGGAAATTTCCTGACTCATCGCAACCATTGCACTGCACTTGTCTATGAAGATAAAGTAACTTATCGACAGTGCTTAGCCAAAAAACTCATCTCAAACAACAAACTGCTATATAGGCATGTCAATAAGCTTCGTAAAGTGAAGTATGGAATCCCTCCACTTTTCACGACATGCGGTAGAGTACAAAGTACCGAAGAAGCAGCTAATGCCCTGCGGTTACAGTACGCCCCAATTTTCGAACTCTCTCTACCTGTCCCATCATGTCATGCACATTACCGACTCCTCTGTTTACACATGTAATTTTCAACCCATCAGTCGTGCTAAGGAAGTTACTCTCACTGCGTGAGCATAGTTCTCCGGGAGCAGACAACATCCGCCCGAAGGCACTGAAGGCTGTGGCCAACAAACTAGCTGAACCACTGTCACAGTTCTTCCGAAGGTGCTTTGATGAACAACAAGTCCCCACTATGTGGAAGTGTAGCGTTATGACCCCTATTTTTAAAGGCGGTAGCCGTTCCGATCCTGCAAACTATCGTCCAGTGACTCTCCTCCCTGTGCTCACGAAGGTGATGGAAGCGGTTGTCGCTGAGGCTTTAATGGACTACCTGGAAAAACGCAACATCTTGGTACTGGAACAGCATGGCTTCTGTCAACACCGGTCATGCACCATCAACCTACTTATTGCACGAGGTAGTTGGACGGAAGAGGCAGATGATGGGGTCGGAGTCGACATCATCTATCTGGACTTCACCAAAGCTTTCGACCGCCTTGATCACCGCAGCATACTTCAACGACTACAGAGCTACTGAATCGGAGATCCTGTACTTGGTTGGATTGGCAGCTTCCTTCACCAACGAAAGTTTCAAGCACGTGTTATGTGATCACTCTCTAACCCAATTGAGGTGAAATGTGGTGTCCCACAATACACAGTGCTGGGACCGCGCTTATTCCTGGTGTTTATCAACGACCTGGAAAGTGTTATCTCCTCAGATTTCCTGCATTCCGCCGCTGACGTCAACATATGGCGGGCGATTAGGAACAAGCCAGATCACGATCTGCTCCAACATGACTTAGATTGCATTTACGAATGATCAAAGAGGAATAAGCTTCAATTAAACATTGCTAAGTGCAAAGTGATACATCTGCGTCACCATCCGGTGAGCGCTTACAAGATTGGAGACCACACCTTAGCGAAGGTTTCGCAGGAGTGTGACCTGGGTATATTGGTACAGGAAGATATTGCACCCAGACAAACATCCCACGTAGTCCAAGTGCGTTCTCACCGAGATTCAGGGACGCAACCGCGCTACTCACATGACTACGTGGCCCTTTTGCACCCATGTCCAACATCCGGTTCAAACCCATACACGGGTGCACCAACCAATATCAACTCAGACAACCTTGTCTGAGTCACGCATGTCTCAGGGATCAAAACCGACATGCGTGCACCGCAAAACTCAGTCAATGGGTGATCGCTGCCGCTGCTGGCTAATCACGTGGAACAATCCAAACCGGACCGATGAACAACTACGCAGCCTATTAAAAAGGGCTGGTCTCCAGTACACCTTCCAAGTGGAGTCCGGAGAGCAGCAGAAGAGACATTTTCAATTCTTCCTGCGGTACCCCAACGCCGTCAGAGCAGCAACGGTTCGACAACTTATACCCGGTGCCCATGTCGCACGGGCAGCGAATCCCATGGCTGCAGAACAGTACTGTCGAAAGGAGCACTCCAGAACAAGAGGACCTAGGTCCAACATCGCCCGAACGATCTCGCTTCGACACGCCACAGTCTCCGAAGAACGAAGGTTCATCGAAGACGTTCGCAGGGGTGACAACTTCTTTACCCTGTGTCTTGAATATCCACGACTGTTCCTACGTAACTATACAACCAGTAACTATACTAACCAGTTGGATGTAAGGATGATCCTTTTGGATAGGAAATCCACGGTATAGCCTTTGCAATTCACCTTGTGTAGAGATTTGTCAAACAAGAAAAGTAGGGTTTGTATGGGCCATTGCCCATACAAGTCATCAATGACTACGAGGTCTTGGCCTCCGTAGCCGTCCCACCAGGTGTTGAGTTCTTCCAGTAGTAGGTGGTCGACTTGTCGGATTCCGTTAGTGCGTACGTGGATTTTCCTTTACCGGGTTCGCCGTAGTGCCATTCGACGAACGCCTTCTCCCTGTGGTCAGTTCGCGGTCCGAATACACTGATAAGTCTTCGTGCATTTGTATAGTTACGTAGGAACAGTCGTGGATATTCAAGACATAGAGTAAATAAGTTGTCATCCCTGCGAACGTCTTCGATGAACCTTCGTTCTTCGGAGACTGTGGCGTGTCGAAGCGAGATCGTTCGGGCGATGTTGGACCTAGGTCCTCTTGTTCTGGAGTGCTCCTTTCGACAGTACTGTTCTGCAGCCATGGGATTCGCTGCCCGTGCGACATGGGCACCGGGTATAAGTTGTCGAACCGTTGCTGCTCTGACGGCGTTTGGGTATCGCAGGAAGAATTGAAAATGTCTTGTTTGCTGCTCTCCGCATTCCTCTTGGAAGGTGTACTGGAGACCAGCCCTTTCCAATAGGCTGCGTAGTTGTTCATCGGTCCGGTTTGGATTGTTCCACGTGATTAGCCAGCAGCGGCAGCGATCACCCATTGACTGAGTTTTGCGGTACACGCATGTCGGAAGATCTTGAGTGTTCAAAACAAGCAGAGAAGGCGACGAGAACCGGCAATCAACACTTTGGCCTTCATCGCAGAGCGTTCGGTCGGTTTGAACCCACAATATTACCCCCAACTGCTTAAAGCCTACGTGCGACCTCACGTGGAATATGCTATTCCGGCATGGCAGCCGTGGCAGAAACAGGATCTCCTTGTTCTCGATATTCCTCAACGAAGGGAAATCAAGAACGTCATTGGCCTCTTTCATCGCCCCTATCAGCATCGACTGAAATCTCTAAGAATCTACAGCAGTCGATATCGACTTTGGCGCGGGGATCAAATGATGGTTTACCAGATTCTGAAGAACTCAAACGACATTTACCGTCCGCTGCTGGAATTGAACCACGGCACTAAGCTAAGAGATCACTCTCTGAAACTGACAATTCAGTCTAGCCGGATTGAATGTCGTAGAAATTTCTTTTCCTTCCGCGTGTGCCAGCCTTGGAACGCCCTCCCTAATTATGTTGTCTCTGCCGCCAATCTGGCGATATTTAAGAAACGTGTTGACGATGCATTGTCTCACTTACATTTCATCTTATGATTTGTTGGCCAGGGGCTACAAAACGCAATCAAACGGTGTCTTGCCAAACACCTAATCAATGGATTTATGGATTTATACGTTTAATACGCGAACATCTCTGTTATTCCACATAAGTCTATGGTGAGTCCACCACAACGCTTTTCACTTTGTTATGCAATTGATTTTCGCAATAATTTCCATTCCACGGGACTTGTTAAGCAATGTTTTTTACCCGTAATAAACCATTGTTCCATTGTTTGTCATTCGAGAATGCTCCCTGTGATCACATAATTCGTAATCATCTAGTCACAGTGATCAGATCCGCTGAGGATGGAATGAATGCCGTGTGCTCAAGCTGCCACATTTAATCAGTTATGCAATAAATTCACACTTACCCGTTATGGCCTGGTTATGTTTGCTGGATTTGTTCCATGCACGGGAGTCCAGGTGCGCAGCGTTCACCTCAGTTGGCGGGAAACGGCCGGGATCTAGGACAATTCTTCCGTCCTGTACCTCATCCAGCCTGCCGCCATAAGGAATCCCGTCACCTTGTGGATCCACCGCAGTTAACTCGGTTGGGTTACCTGCATAAGCAAACTCCAAATGTAGTGTGCACGCTCAAGGGCAAGTTAACAGCAAGCCTACCGAAGTACTTAGAAGTTACGCGGGTCGAATGCTAAAAAAGCACGCCTTTCGGACGATTTGTATTACAGACTGAGGTGGTGGGCCACAAAAATGCCAAGAACAAGAACGTCCGCTGAATTTCGCGGATACGAACTCAGATAGTGTTTAGACAAATGGTACAAGTTTAAAAATTCAGTTTTCAGCACGAGCATGAGGATATAGCATGAAACATCCAACAGGGCTCTCAAAACCTTCCTATGCAGTGGTGCTGAATGGTGCGTACTTCAGCATCACCAGTTGTTGGTTCACAACGAGCTGAGTTTAGAATCACCAATTTGTGCGGCAGAGTCCTTGTCCCGTCGTTGAAATGACAGAGACCATAGTATATGAGAGGGGAGTTTAAGTAAGTCCTGCTGAAGAAAGGCCCTAATGGTGAGTAGTTTTGTTACATCTGGTGGCTGAAGCCCCTAAGTAAACTTCCCAATGCCAATATAATTTCCCACCACCTCACTAAGTTATGGAGATGGGCAGATATAGGAGGATTGGTTAAGGAAAGGGTTTACAGCGCTGCAGTTTGGTATTGTTACTATATGCTTGGGGGGATGCTGACTGCCAAACGAATCGGCAGAACCGTCGTACTAACGTTAGAGTTGGTCATTCGATGTACGAAAACAGAGCACTCGGTCACGCTTATCTTGATTATCTCGTGTGTCTGCATGTGTGTAAGCCCGTTACCCCGGCGTTTATCGCTTACCAATATTGCGGTCAGGTGAACAAAACCCTGATGTGACAAGTCAAAGTCAGAAAACTACTAAAAAACCGCGCACGAAAAACTAATTAGAGTTATCGATTTTCCTCTTTCGGATGGAAGCTGCTGAATGAATTAAAGGAGCAGTAAAAGCATTAACAAATATGGGGCAGTTAGCAAGTCAGAGACTTTTATGGGTTAGTGATCGCAGCCTACTAGTCTTTCACACTTCCGGAAAAAGCCCTAAACGACCGGTTCGTCCGAACGGGACTCACTAACACTGCGTATTCTCTAGATTTATCTGGAACCGAGTCCGCCGGCTTAAGTGACTAGGTTACAATGGACTGTAGGGGGCCGTTGTCACCGTACAAGGTAACTACAACAATGTGTCGCATCCTCCACGGTCACGCACGTTACGCACGGTTGGATTAGTTAGGTTATGTTTGGCTCAAATACTGGCTCAGGTTCCTGAAAAAGATGGCCATCTTTGGAGTGCAAGATCCAATACTAAGTTGGCTGCTATCACACCTTAGTGGTCGCTCCAAAGTAGTCCCCCTAGATGATTAGTGCTTTTCCGCATGTCCAGTCGCAAATGGCATTATTCAAAGAAGTGAGTTCGGCCTAGTACTGTTTTTGCTCTATGTCAATGACAGCAGCCTAGTGATTAAACAAGGCATGCCTCACCACAAAATCCAACCAGCTAAACTTCAGAACGAACTATTGATCCTACAGGATGACCTTCACTTCCCTGATGTGACACGTGGTCCATGTGCTCATCGAACAGATCAAGCATCATTATCGACTTTGCTCGGTAATGGAAATCTCTTGCACACTTAGTGATGAATACCTATACGTACAACTGTATACCTGCAATGGAGCTGTGGGTGATGCAGCGCAAGCCAACCACGGTCCCTCTGTAGGCGCAGGCGTCCTGTGGCTGTCATATGGAGGCCACTGTGACAGGCAAATCCGGAACCCGGATGCTGCCAATCATACCTGCAATCACCGAATCAGGTAGTCCTGTTCCTTTAACTCTTAGCAAATTGAGTAGCAGACAGTGCAGGCCAGACAATCTGCGGCCAATGTACCCCAGAAAACCCATAAACCTAAACCATAGTTCAATTTATATAATACTTACCTTCCCGATTGCATAAGGAACGCTGACAGAATAGCTCACGAAAGCCTACAAAGACAACTGTAACCGTCTGGATATTCCCCAGTTTGCCTGTGTAAATTGCAACAGAAGTTATGCTTGCATTGTACACTTGGACGACTAGTGCGAATTGTTGAGTTCTGTTGCTTTGGTTGCGCACCGATTTTGTTTTACGCTCATTTCGGTTACAACGTGCGACTGATACCGTATGCTGCATTTTTTCTTTACTCCAACGTCTACAGAGTCACTTTTAATAACTAAATCAAAAGAGAAGCGTTTACCGTGCAAAATAAAAGTTGTCCAGCAACTCGTTCTGCCTTCTAAAATCGCTATGTGGGCTTCTGCGACATTGGGGACCTCAACTTGGGAGAACCTCAACGCCAGCTATTTCAAGTTTTCTCCGGTGATCCCGTTACATTTAATTTTTTCATATTTTCCGGTTGATTTTGGCAAACGGTAGCACTTTTGTGCCCTTTTTTATACCAAGGATTCTGTAGATCAGAAGGCAGTGTCCTCCGTTGTTAGCGTCCCACATTTTTGGAACATTGATCTCTTTCTGTGGTTCGCTCACCTAGAGGTAGCATTTTATAACTACAGAATAACTGCAGCTTACGCTAAGTACGTAAAGCTGATATCAATGCAGGTTCGAGACTGTATCATTTCGCAGACAGAAAACCGCTAGGAAGCCCATAAGGAGGTTACGATTAGGCGTGTCGTCCCCTCTGAGAAGATCCGCCTGCAACAGCTTTTGCAGGATCTGCAGTTGGGCGACAAACTGCTCTCAGCTCTGTTACGACTGCTTGGTCCATCGGTCATCACGAGACTATACTTCAAGAATGATGCCTACAGCTACTACTGGCAAACACGCAGGCGATTCTCGCAATCGTGAGCTCCGTTTCGCTCACGCAACTAGCTGATTTAGCCAATCGAGTCGTCGAACGACTACAGCTGCAAGCCGACGCCAGCAACGTCAACGTACTCGCCTCCCAGGACACTTCTGTCACCTGCTTACAGTCAACGATAGAAGCACTGTAAGCATAAGTTGCGATACTTCGTCGCCGTTGCCGTCCCAGCCGATGAAAATCACCCTCAAAAATATTCCAAGTCTATCAACAAACAATCTTACTGTTACCACCAAGATTTTGGTACCGCATCCGGCAAATGCGCAAAGCCATAAACCATGTCCGAGAAGCAGGAAAAGTTCTCGGTCCGCTGATAATGGCGACGGACGCGAAGAGCCAAAACTAAAGTCGTCTCATCCGCCTTAGGCATTTAACTTCCGGTACTGAGTTCCCCAGCGGACACCAGAGCCGAAGTTAGCGTCATATTCGTAGCTCAGATGAGGTGGTCTCACCCTCGCCAATGGCCCACCAATCGCAACCTTCGGTGAGAAGCTGCTAACACTCAGTCTATGACTCCGGCGAAATTTCGATGGGCTTTCATAGTAGCGGCCGTCCCACTCACCATAACAGACATGGACTTTCTTCAACATGTTTCTTTTTCTTGTCGCTCGTTTCAATGGCAACGTGTGACCGCTCTTGTGTGCTGCAGCGTCGATTGTGTCGGTATTTCTATAGTTATATCAACAGGGAATCATTTACTGTACAAATAAAAGCTTCCCTACAACTCGACCTGCCTTTTGGAACTCCCATCTAGACTCCTGCTAAACAGTCTAGCATAGATTAATTAGATAAAGGCTCCATAGTAACTTCTCAACAGCTGTGTAAGTAGCATCCAGCTCCGTCCGCCATGGCTACAAAGGTATAAATCAATGAGGATGTAAAAGTTGATTCATCAAAAAGCGTATTAGAATTTATCTACATTAAAATTGTAGCACAGTTTGATGCGTGAACCTCGTACTAAGGTCTGTACTCTGGTTTTACCAGTGTGCAAGCCAAATACACGGTCTAATTGTTTTCTAATCGGGTATGCTATCCTGCGGAATCGGCTCTCACTAATAACCAAGATATGAGAGAATGCATAGAGGTTCGTAATAAGCTTGAAAGCTGCCTTGACCCAAAAATGAGTAGAAATTTAAAAGGCATGGAACGTAAGACCATTTTGTTGTTAGCCGAAAGCTTCACCCTTTTAAACACGGAGTCAGGACAAGCGACGTTTGTCACACTGGTTAATGACTGATTGGAGGATCATGCTGAGGCGCTCGATGTGCGAATATATTGAGACACAATATCAGTATAGACCGAGATTCACATGGAGGTGAATCATTGGTTAATTCTATCACTAAGACCGGAGCTGATGAGGCAGATGGAAATTGGGTTGCCCGCCCGAAAACACTGCACATCACGACACGCTTCGACCTCGTTTGCTCTCATCAGATGGAGGTAGAAGGCCCTGAACCCGGGACCATTGGAATGTCACTCAAAACCTTTACCCCTTTGGCTACCGGGTCACAAAGGGGAACACTTGGAACAACGGTTACTGACTGACTGGAGTGACAATGTTGGATTACACGTGTGATTAGATTGAGACGCTCAATTCCAATGTGGACCGCAATTCGCATTGAATTGAACCTTGATCAATTCGATCACGAGGAGGGCAGCTGAAGCAGATGGAAACTGGGTTTTGCTCTCCCGAAAAAGCTGCATTCCACGACGCGTTCCAAGCTTATTTGATCTCAACAGGTAGAGAACAGGTAGCGAACCAGTCATGAGCTGATGGATAGATGGACAGAGGTTTCGGCTAACATCCCAACAACCACAGTTTCTATGCCAGTTACCTGTACCTGATGAGGCCAAATAAGTCGAGACGCGTTGTGGAGTGCAGTGTTTTCATGCTTCACCGCTTACGGTCCCATTGATGGAACTGGCCAAAGTTCACTTTAATGCCAATCGCGATCCGCATTAAGAGTGTGCGTCGCAATCCATTAACACAACGAGTGCTTCACTATGACCTTGTGCTTGTGGGGAATTTCGCCTAGTGAACTGGTTCAAGAATTTCCAAATAATATCCAATGGTTGGAATCGAAGAAAGTCACACAAGTTACACAACGTTTTGTGGCTGCAGTATCCACGAATCCTAACAGTACCCTCTATATCAGG